CCTCTGGGAAAAGGCAAAGAGGAAAAGAATCAACAAGAAATTCTAAAACTAGAATATAAAATGGAATGGAAACAGATGGTAGGCATTCCAAACTGTCGATCATTTGCAACTACTACAAGACAAACACCTGCTTTGATGTCAGAAGCTGCAATCTTCCCAACAATACTTAATGCATATATGCCATCTAGACGCTGCACAACTTTAGTGAAACCAGTTTTTACAAGTTGAAGAAGAGGCCCCAGTAATGATGATATCTGGAAATTCATGTTTAAAAAGCTTCACATCAATTGAACAAAATAGTTGACCACAAAATAATTAATTACTGAACATACATTAAAAAAACATATTAAAGATTGTTCACCTGCAAAAGGGCATCAGAGTTTTTGCAGATAGCTAGCAGAGAACGAAGATGACCCCTTCTCAAAGCCTCCTTCTCCTTGAGGCCAGAGGCAAAAAAGGAAACTAAATCTGGTTGAAGTGCATCAACAAAACGGGCTGCCCAAGAAGCAATGGCTGATAGTATTGCTAGCTTTACCTCTTCATTTCCTGCAAGGACAGATGATAATTCATAAAGATCATCTGCAAAGGATTTTCAACATCTAAAATGCACAAGTTCAATCTTTATAAATAAACAGCAGAAATAAGTCATCAAAACAAATTACCTTCATCTTTGTAACAAGTCAAAAGAAAGCCACATACGGTACGAGAGAGGTTGTTGAGATATTTTCCTTCAGGAGCATTAGATAATTCCTGCAGTGCATTCATCATGCCAATTCTTTGGTAAGGAAATGCTAGCCTTCCTTCTGAGCCTGTTTGCAATGAAAAGGTCAAGTAAAAGCTCATGAAAAGATTAGTGACTAAAGGTCTTAATTCCTTTTTAACTAAACCAAAGATCTTAATTCTTGAACTGTCACGCACAGTATAAGAAAACCTATAAAAGCCAGAACAAGAGGAGAAGGTCAAACCTCCAAGGACAGCTTTAATCGCATTGAACATTGATTCAAAAGCATCTGGATTACTAGACTTTTGGCTTAAACACCGTACTATAGTCAATGCCCCAATCCTTCTTCCATCTTCTGCATGTCGAGCCTGTGGTAATACGACAGAAAGAATTTCCATCGCATACTTACTTAAATCAAGATTGACTAAACTTAATAGTATTCCAACCGACTCCAACACAATCTCAGGGTTGCGTTTTAACATTTTCACAGATGATGGGATCACAATACTTTGAAGATCTTCATGTGACATACGTGCAAATAGCGGATGAAAAGATTCACCAAGCCCCTTGGTTGGCTTTTCTCTGGCATTTAAAACAGCTTTAACATAGATGTCAAGAAATATTGGCTGTACAAAGCAAAAAATCATGTTAAATCTTCAATATAGCTTACTGAATATAAGAAAATGTTAAACCAAAAAACCTTGAAGACTCCAAATGTCAGAAGGAATTCCACCATAAGTAACAAAGGTGAAATCAAATGATTCCTACCTTGCTTTGTTCAAACTTAGATGGTACTACAGATGAAAATTCCAGTAATAAACATAGCAATTCAGGAGCATCTTTGTATGGAATCCGTGCATCCTTAATTTCTTCTATGTATATGTTGTAGACATCAGGTGACTGTAAAAACAAAAGCAATAAAACCAAAGAAATTTATATTGCAATAACCAGCAGGATAATTTCCTCAAAACCAGAAAAGGTTAGTCATAGCAAACCTGAGAAAATAAATGGAAAAATGATTTTATGCATGCCCTTCGCTCACGAAAAGATCTTTGCATAACAATATGAAGCAAAGATGCCTGAGCTGCAGCTACTCTACACAATGCATTTCTCGAAACTGTGGCAAACTGACTTCTGCTTAAGAGGAGACATGACCACTTGAGTAGAGCATAGCACCCTACATGGGTTTGGAACTTTGATTGCTTCTCCATTGCCTGAACAAGTGCCGCTGCAAAACTTTTCATAAATATAACCTCGCCTAAAGCCTTCACAATCACACCATTAACAGCTTTTCTCGACCTTCCATCATCAAATATTGGGAATGTTTTAAATATTATATCCACCAAAAGTGACGTAAATTCAGGAGACATCTCTGTTAGAGATAAATAATGATTCAAGAACTGATGTAAGTACAAAATAAGCTCATCTTATCACTGGGTGCACAATTATTCAATTACTGAGAGACAGACAGAGAGAGAGGGAGTAAGAGAAGGAGTGGGAGGGGGGGCGATGTGTTGCATAAAAGTGAAGGTTAAAAAGAAGAATATATCCAACATATGTGTACATTCAATTTAGTTAGTAGAAGAATGACAGGTAAGCTATGATAGATCATACTGTGTACCTGGCATATTTTCAGTCTATTCATAATATGAATGCATCGCAACACATGCATAATTTCTTGAGATTGTAGCGCTCTAAAAGGCAAAAGCAAAATCTTTCCTTCATTTCTGAGAAAACCTTCAAATTTAGAGAAACATCTTCCAACCCCTTTTATTAGTAATGCCAACTAATTTTCAAATTTACAGAAAGCTTATGATATATTGCTTCATGCAACAGGAAAGTGGATGCCTACTTTTCTGGATGCAAATTAGAAATTCTTTGATACCTTAATAAATCATGAATATTACTAGTTTCCTACATAGTTGGCAGCCAATTTCAATAAGACAACCAAAGGTGGTGCAGATACCAGCAAACCTTAGAAATCATGTATCATAAGTGAAAAACCTCTAATTATAACTCTAAATCCAGTTCACATTGACAGACAACCAAGTACAGGAACTATCTCTTCAACAAGTACAGAAACCTTTTTTTCACACTCCTTTCACCACACTGTTCACAAACTTTAATCCATCATACTTCAGCAACCCTTCATCCTGTAATTACTCTAGAAATACAACTTAGAACTCATAAATAAACCGAGTGGGCTGAGATGTAATCACTCACATTTGCTACAATTCATAACCAAAACATAAACTATATTCACCTCATTCATAAATCCGCATTTTTTGGGTGCACGCGTAAGTAAAAGCTACATGTATATTCACTTATACATACATGTATACGTAAATAACAATAAAAAATTAGCATTTATAGAACTTATTCGAATTTTCAATACCACAAACTCATACTCCTACTTATAAAACTTCAACAAACCCTAAAATACACATTGAATTTCCACAGTGTAAATTTACTTAAACAGTTCCAACAGTCAAACGAATAAATCATACAAACATATTTAACTAATAATGATTAATATTAAAGTAGAAAGAGAACCAGACCTGAATTGGCAATAATGGGAGGGAGTTCATCGCGAAAGATCCGGACCCGTTCTTTAGTTGACGGAGTAGAAACCGACCCGGCGATTGAGACCAGAGATTCCACCGGAGAAGAAGAACCCGCCATTTCTTATTGGAATGGATCCGGATTCGGATTCCCGATCCAAAATTTGCGATTTTTAAGCTCCTTTTTATTTCTTTCAGGCTGTCGAAATGATGATATTTTTTCTTCCCTTTTTTTTTTTTTGTTTTTTTTCAGTGTGGAGTTTTTGGTTAGGGTTTTAGGCAGAGTGTAAAGAGAAAGAGAAAGAAAATATAAAATGGGCCCGCAACAGTAGAATTTTCTGATTGGTGGAAAGGGGCTGCTTCCCTGTACTGCTGGTTCTGGATATTGTTTATGGGTTTTGGCCCAAATATGTAACCCGGCCCACTATTTATGGTTTCATTCTGGGATTGAAATTTAAATAAACTGAATTTCAATTCATAAATCAATCTGATTCGATTTGTTGATTATTCAAATTTCAAGGTTTTTCCCACAAACAAAATTTTATTCAACAAAAGAAAATATTCAGGAAAAATAAAGAAAAAAGAATTATGAATTATATTTTTGAGGTATGATTAACTGAAAATTTTGAAATAAATATTTGAAATACCTAATCAAAAATTAATTATTTGTATTTAATTATTATCATGATTACTTATTGTTACATGCGGAGATTTCGTTACCCAGGTCCCCCAATTTTTGTCACTATTACTGCATTTTTTATACTTAATTTTATTTTATTTTTAATCCATGATTTATCATAATGGTAATTTAGACATAAAAAACAAAAGCAGCACTAGTCAAATTAACTACTGGGATTCCATTACACAGACTGACATTAAAATTACATATAATTTTGTTGAAGTTTAACCTGTTTTATTGTATTATAAAATAGATTATTATAATATTGATTTTTTATTAATATATATCAAATTAATTTAACCAAATTTTGATAAAAAATTTAAAATAAATTAAATAATGTAAATTTATACTTTAATTATTGAAAAATATGTATCCTGATTTAACTGACAGCGGAATACTGAAGTAAGAGTTTACTGCTTTTCTGTTTAATTTGGGTCAGCATGCAGGATTGGGGGAGGTGGCAAAGTTAAAAGCATGACATCTGATATCAATGCCCCCGCTGTCACTGAATATTATGTGTAATAAATAATAAGAAAAGGAAAATGAAGTCTGGAAATAAGAGCTAGGGCCTAGAGCTCACCAATGTTTCCTCAATACCAGGACCTAATTCTCCCTCTTCTCTCTTCGTCTAAGAAACAAAACAAGCCCCACTACTCTCCCTAAAGTTGACAGGTGGCTTTTCCTCCATCATCAGTCCCCTGACGTGTGCCTGAATCATGCATATGAAGAATATAAATCCATGAAATTTTGTTTTTTCTTTTATAGAAAAGGAAAAGAAAAAGGAAAAATAATTAATTTAGCTCCTTAAGGGTGAAGGAGTTTGCAAGATTCAAGACAAGTGTTTTTGTCAGTTTGACACTAGTCTTATCTGGATAATTAGATCTCACGCAAAGCCAACAGCCAAGCAGTTGCTTTACACGTGTCAACAACCCACTTCCCCTAGACTCACTGAAACTGCAACCATCAGTGTCATTCAGTTGCCTTTCAAAACCCCATTGCGCCACAGGTTTCTTGTCCAGAGATAGAAATAATAGTGCTGTAGTTTTTTTGCTCTTTGGTAGTACAAAAATGGAGCGCTGAAGCCAAAGCAAATTGTACAAAGAGAGTAGTGATAAGTAAGAGACCTTCTTCCTTGAGTAAATTAAGGAGAGGGAAAGGTGGTCCAGAAAATGCTATGTGCACGTATCGAGGAGTAAGGCAAAGGACATGGGGCAAATGCGTCGCTGAGATACGTGAACCAAACCGTGGCAACAGGCTTTGGCTTGGAACTTTCAATACTTCTCTTGAAGCTGCACTTGCTTATGATGAAGTAGCTAGAAAACTCTATGGTCCATCTGCTAAACTCAACCTGCCTCAGCCTCATGGCTTCCCATCTATCACCTCTTTCCCTGGAAATCTTGTTAACTCATGCAAAGAAACTGGCATGCTGGGAAGTCCTTCTGTTGGGGAGTCTTCAGGTTCTAGTGGGAGTTCAATCCAAAGCGAAGAGAGGTTGGTGAGAAGAAAAATAAATACAGAAGGGTTTAAGGGATCAGTTAGTTTAGGTGGTGATAGAGAGGAAGACTTTTATTGGCTGGAGTTTTCATTAGAGAATGATTTCTTGAAAATGAATGGCATTGAGGTTTTGATCGGCCAAGAGTTCAAGGGTAATTGGGATGGAAATGAAATTGCTGGAATGCAGAGTTAGTGGTTCTTTTAAGCATTTTTTAGGTGTAAATTTATCAGGCTTCCTTACATACTTTAAGGGCTTCAGAGATCCATAGAGTGGTGGAATTAAGAATTTTCTTTTTCTAAAGAGGTTGCATGTTTATGTTGTGTAGCAAAAGTTTTGGAGGGTTTTTTTTTTTTTTTCAATTTCTTCTCTTTGTCATAGTAGCAGCATCTGTAATTTTTTTATTGGGTTCCGCAATGGCACTGAAACTTTTAAGTTATTGCACCCTTTTTCTTCCCAAATGGAAAGTTGGTTAAGATGGTTCAGTTATGGAGAACCCTGTTCTGGCATTAGCATTAGGCCTATTCTTGTTCAAGCATTTTCTTTCATTTTGATTTCTTTTGACAGATGAGAATGATATTTTGAGATATATTGGGTACTACATAATCATCTGGACCTAGTTTCAAGATCCATGGAAAGGTATTGAGCTTACCATATTTGACCAAAGGGGAAAAAAAAGAGAGATAAAAGAAGACAACCAAGAAATGAAGACTGACAATCACTTTACATAGTAAGTGCCCATGTCCAAATGATCAAACATCAGTGATGAGTATTATCATAATTGGTTATGAACATATTTATAACAACCAGGACAAAACATCTATAAACATGAGCAAAGGATATTACAAAGGTAATGTATAATACAGTAGAAAGTTCTTCATTTTTCTTTCAATCAACCTGTTGAATCTCATCCAATGCATAGTTGTTGGTTGACACATTGGCATAGTTCACTTTGTTAAATCTAACCACAACTGGATACCTTGTCTTTGGGTCCTGTTCCATTGAGATTGTTTAGTCCATTGCAAAGAGGATACATAAATTAAATTCCTTTATGCTAATCTGCATATGTTCTTGTGGTTTTTGTGTTAGTGAGAAATTAATGAGAGTGAGGAAAAAAAGACCTGATCAACTGTCACAACTGAACCAACAGTGTTGTACCAGTAAGACTCTCTTCGTAGGATTTTCACCTGTGGAAGGCAGAAAGATAAAACAAGCAAATATTAACTAGATAGTCACATGAGACACTGTCTGTGATCTTCCTCATGTATATTTTGATGTTTCTTTCTGGAAAATGATAGCACATGTTACATCCAAGCCAACAACTCATCTATGCTGTTCTACCATATCAGTAAAGAACTTGTTCTGATTCTTGCTAGACTGCCAAACTTTGAGAAGTGTATCTTTTCCTTTTCTGAAAGCTGTCGATTGCAGAAGAAGCAATTGTGAAAATACTTTTGAAAGAAGAATCGACCTTTAACCAAAGAATCAGATACTTCAGCAATAAGGAGACTACTTGTACTGTTTTAAAGGGGAGGTGGCTTGGGGCCATAAAATTAGCTAATCTGGTCATAGAGATTGGCTCTGTGGCCTCACTGCCAGGGCATTCATATCATACTCATCAAAAATTGCTTTGGGTCTACCTGACACCATGTTCCAGGTTCAGGAATGTATAGACATATTTCCTGGATAGGAAGGCAGGTAAAAGGACTCTAAAAGGATTGCTGACCTTTTGGCCGACAGCAAAGATTTCAACATATTAGCATAAATTTCTTGGCATTCATCACTGTCTGCAGACATTAATAACATAAGACATAATCATATAGAACACTAAGAACTTATTGGACAAAAGCTTCCTGTGTCTCTGCTTTCCCTGGGAGTGCATGATTAAAGTTTTTTTTTTCTTTCTTGTTGTTTGCTAATTCAAGGCAAAAAAGTAGTACCAATCAATCAAACCCATAACTGAATTGATTATCTGTTTCTTAATTTTTAAAAATATGTTTTAGCAAGCTTAAGCTAATAAGTTATACCGCACAAGTCACTACCAATCCAAAGAAAATGAAAGATCATCGTAGTTCTAAAAGAATATATACCTTAGCACCCCTCTTGGGTCCAACTGGAGGTGGCTTGGCAGCCTTAGGAGCTGGCTTAGCTTCTCCTTCTGCAGGGGCAGTGGTGGTGGTAGTAGAAGCCTCTGGCGGCGTTGGTGGTGGTGGCGGTCCCTCCTCTGCTGCACGTACCACTAGCCTGCTTGAAATATTATTTCCATGCTTGAAAGAGAAGGCAATACTACTCCTTGGAGTTGAACTTGGCTTTGGTGCCAAACTGGTTTTTAGCACAAGCCCAGATGCTGCACATGCAATGTTACATGTAGCCATTATTACCAAATACCAGCTTTTGTTCCTGCTGACTATGAACCTGTAAATGACATCAACTCAGTCATAAAAAAAATATCTAGGGGCATGGAACTTGGAAAGAAATGAGATTGCTATTTTTCTTTCTGAGGAAAATTCATTTGGACCAATCAAAAATGGAAATTGTAATCCTGCCAATGAGATAATGCCACGGGAGCACAATATCTCTATCTTGTGGATAGAGCAACGCAATCAGCCAGTGATGGCAAGCCTCAAACCTTCAGATCAACAGAAGAATATAATTGAGATTGGGTGAGTGAACCTGCCATGGATCCAAGAATTGGGGTCTAAAATCAGTAGATTTTCAGGCTGGGTCTCTTTGGGCTCTTCCCTGTCAGCTAAAGATTGTGGCTCAAAGAGAAGAGAAGAAAGAATCACCCATTCGGCCATTTGTCCACCTACTTCTAACCCAACATATCTTTGGACAACAGCCCAATATTTTTGTAATAACTCCAATCATGCAAATGGTCCAACACGTTGCTGGGCTTAATGTCCATATTTTTCTTATTGGAATAATAATTATAATTTTAAATAAATAGAGATCTATCAAGGGTTTGGGCAAATTATAGTGACACCTATAACTGCAACTTTGGGCAATGGCAATGAATGCAACAGCTTTGACATGCATTTGTTTATAGTTTGATGTTAAGGAAGCAAATGCTGGTTGGTACAAACAGAACATGGATCCATCTAGCTTTATAAGATGTCATCAATAGCTGTCTCTATGATGTTCAAGACAAGCAAATCTGACCACTTGAAAGCATAATAATACCTAACTAAAAGAAAGGGTTCTTTTCATTTCTGATAAACCTTTAAGCATTAGTTGTAGTTAACATCAACATGGATCTTAATCTTTATGTGTGAGCCATAATTGTACTTGCTTTAATGAAAACATTTTTGAAAAGGTTCTTTTCATTTCTAATAAAATTCAAGTATTGTTTGGAGTTAACATCACCAAGGTCTTAATCTTTGTGTGAGCCCTACTTGCTCTCATTATCTCATTTTTGCTCTTCATTTGGTAGCCAACATCAAGAAACTTAAAGTTGAAATCTAAGAGAAAATAACACTATATGTGACAGGTTGATATCTGGTATAGAGCAGTTTCAAAAAATTTATGAAGCTGAATTTGGGGGGTTGTTAAACTTAAAAACCCTTTTCTTTTATGTTATATGCAAAAGTCAATCCATCATCAGATAATTTATTTAGTTAAAATTTAATTTTCAGCCATGCAATAGAAAGTATAGTATTTTTTTTTATTTATAAATGTTTAAAATCTTTTTTTTATATATATATATTTTAAGTCTTTGTTTGGTTTGATTTTTTTATTTATTTACTTTTTAAAAACAGAAATTAAGCCAAACAAAATTTTTAAAAAATTCTTAAAAAAACAATATTTTTTTAAAGAACAAATTTAAAAGAAAAAAACTCCAGAGAGAAGATATTGAGCTTTGGTCTTAAGTTCAACAAAATTGAAAAGCAAAAGTTTTGAAGAGTATTCTGATAGTTACTGGGTAGGGATTTATTTTACAGGACTTAAATATCACTAGTGAATTTTATCTCTCATTTGGTAGTGTTGTGTTTAGATGGAACCCAAAGAAGCAGAATATAGTAGCTTAGCCTTCAACAAAGACAAACTATGTTTCAACTACTTCTACAACCAATCAAGCTCTGCAGGCAAAGAAGGTACTTAACTACTACATGGATTGATAATCAATCATCTATTGCTATGGCCAAATTCATATTGAACATGGTCGAACCAAGCATATTCGTGTCAAATTCCATGCCATCAGATGTGCAGTGAAGAATTCAAAGGTTTGGGTAAGGTATTGCAACACCAATGACCAGTTAGAAGACCTCTTTACCAAGAGCCTTAGTAAAGACAAGTTTGAGATACCGAATAGTTTAACAATAACTTTTAAGCTAAAAAAAAATAAAGCTAAACAAACTTTAATATTTAAATTCGTAACTTTTGAATTAAAATTTTAAAATTTAATAATTAAAGTGATTTTTCAAAAAATAATTTATTATAATATTAAAATACATAATTTTTTTAAGGAAGAAATTTCACTAGTCAATCTGGAGAAGATTTATTAATATCTTCTAAAAACGAGTATTCTCCAATTATATTTTAGTACATGATTTAGTATATGCCTGATATTTCTGCTAAGGTTTCATTGATTTTTCAAGTACCCTTCATCCAAATTGGCTGTGTCAAACATCTAAACTCATCATTCATCAAATCTTTTAAGGATTTAGCACTTGAAAATCCTCAAAGAAAAACCTTTGCTGTCAATCAGTATACGTTCACTTAATGCAAAACGAACTTGTAAATGTACTTTTGCCGGTGCAACAGATATATAGTCAGGAAAAAATGACTGACTGAACAAGTCCTGGTCTGAAACTTTTACTAGGAAGCAAGCAAATCAAATCGATGCATTCCCATTTACTACTGAGGAAAGAGGAGAAATGAAGAGCCTGAAAATCTTGGCCCCTCATCGAGAAAATATGCCTTGTAATAAACTGTTAAAGGTATCAGCTGGGGGGAAATGATCCTGTTTGTTGGACGGTTGAATTTAATTCAACCATTAAAGTTTTGTTGTTGGAAGTAGTTGGCCTAATTAAATAACTCACAACACAACTCAACCAGGCTTTTTCACTTTTGCTTGTAAATTATTTGTTCTATGGTGGGATTTCATTTCCCCTAAAAGCAAAGGAAACTATGGAATTTGGGTTGCTACTGCTTTATTGAGGATTCCATTTCAGTCCCTCATTCCTATAGTTCTAGACTTCGTAGCCGTAGATTGGGATTTTGATTTTTGGGATTGTGGCAATGTAGAGGTTATTGGCTGTGTGGTTAAAGTAGCAAAAGTTAAAAAATGAATGAATGAATCCAGCTACCTCCACCCATGAATGAATCCAGTGAATAATCTTTTATTTAAAGCTTTGTCTGTTATGTGTAGCTCTTAAAAAACTAAGGAAGCAAAGCAAATAAGGAGAAGGAAAGAGGGTGGTTTTGCCTTGCAAACATTTTATCTTCTTTTTTCTTTTTATTTTTTTTTACCTTTACAAGAAAAAAATAGCAAGATTCGAACTTAAAATCTCTATCCAAAATTAAAATACTATAAAAGAGGAACATGTATTCTCTCCTTAATTATAAACCCTGGTGAATGCAAAATTTAATTTAATTACCTTTTGGATCCAATATAAACTGAAGATTGGCACTTTTCCATTTGTGTTATAGATTTCAAGATATTTTCGATATGGGGATTTAGTTGCAGTCATGGTAGATTTTCAGTTCAGAAATTGCAAACAGCTTTAATTTGGTTAGCAAAGTGGTCCAGGCTACAATTAACTATAAGCAAACCAAGGTTTAGATCTTCTGCAGCAATTATTTCCTGGTTAATTTCTTGACTAATCATACTCAGCTGCATCCTGTATGCAATATTACCTTCAATTAGTTTCTCTAGCTATGTCAGTCTTGTTGGAAATATGCGGCTTGATTTGAATTAATGTGCAGCATTGCAGAAGGTGTATTAAATCTGGAGATTAAGTTACCAAAATTTAAATGTATGGTTCTTCTGTCTTTCATGGTATTCATCAATTTCATCCACAAAGATTTTACAGCTCCTTTTTCTTATTTTCCTTTTACTGTTTTTCTTCTGAGAGAGAGAGAGGGGGTGGGGGGGGGGACTATGGTGGTGCATTCATTAAGGAAAACTACAGCTGAGCTGACCTGCAATGCCGACATCACTTTCCACAAAAAAATTGTGGGTTCATTTTCTTTTTTTCCTGTTGATAGTTATTAAGAATACATTTGCTTAAAATATTTTCATTGACATCACCCAATTTGTGGGTTGGCTAGCTTGAAACTTCTGCTGGAAATTTACAGCCATGTAAAGGAATAGAAATGTATAGACTTTACTTGCTAGAATACTAGTGTGAAATCAAATATTGTACACCTTGAAATGGACATTATAAATATTCCTCATAAATGTAACTCTCCAATTATACAAAAGAGCTTACAAATAATCAATTCATTTGCATTGAAAAAGTAGCCAATTAAGCCAGAATAATCTGATCTTTCTTCCTTTTCTTTTGTCTTTTTTTTTTTCCTCCTTCCTGCTTTACCTACTCTTAACAATAAAAGATTTTGTACACTTCCTTGATTTTAAATCATAAGCACTATGTGCAATATTATTAAACATTTGATATGAAAGACAGTATAGAGTGGACCAGTGTATATAAATATTTGGACATAGTTAAAAGCCCACACCCCCCACACCATATTTATTTTGATCACATGGCTCCTTAACCACTCATCCATCTGTTTGCCATCCTGTATTGAGCATCCATTCGATGCTGAACCCAGAGACATCATTTTCTGCTTGACTATATTGAAGTGATGGGTTGAAAGCTACAGGTAACAGTATCTGCGAGCTTAATACAAGTGCAGAAGCAAAGGTGTGAGATAATGATAAAGCAAGACAAAATCCCACCAGTTATTACCAGTAAGTTTTAATATAGACTACCGCTTAGACAGGCTTGATTAGTCTACAAAGAGGAACTTAGGATATACTTCAAATTTAAGAATATTTTGGTTCAATGTTTTTGATTAATTGTAATATTGAAAAGCAAAAAGAAATACAAAAAAGTGCTTTACCAAACGTAGCAAAGGTATAATGCAGCAGTTAGCTTTAAGCAATTGTCATTAGAGAAAGACATACACCTATATTTATCAGATTTGGGTACAGGTTTGAGACAGGGGTACACATTCACCTTGGATACATCCATGTCTGTTTTTTCAGATGTTATTCTTTATATTTGAAGTATGTCACTATACTTTTGTACCACTATTATTTTCACTTTAAGGCTGCTGATATGGGTTCGATCGAGATGAGCAAAATGTAAATGCAGTTGTAAGCAAGTGTGAAGGAGCTGGGAGAGCTTAAAAATAGTTACTCAACAAGGCACCCGATTTAGACCCTCACTCACTTGGTTTATAATGTTGATCACATGGAAACTTAATTGTTTTTGTTTTTGTTTCCCTCTTAAATAATAAAAC